CCATGTTTGCTATTTCAGCCAATGAACATGAAGCAATAGTGTACTTGGGTTTTGCTTTCCTCAGAGCTCCTATCACTTCAAGTCCAAAGTGCATTTAATGTGCACCTTCACAGTTTCCAGTTTAAGCCTTGTGTATATATTGTCACGGTAAGAGCTTAATTGCACTGTCATCCAAGGTGAAATTTAATTCTGCAGTCAAATAGATAAAGCAAGAACAATGATATCGGTGTGTCATCAATGATTTTTGGTGATCTCCACATTGATTTAGATGCGCTGTAAAGGCTGACACTAAAAGTCCAAGTTTCTAATGAGACATCGCAACTTCACTAATTAGAATTATGCAAAAAGGCACAATTCTGAGAGGCACACCACATTTTTCAACTGATATTCATCTATTGAGTTTAGTCCAGGAAAAGTATCAAATAAAACAGATTTTACAACAATATGTGTTACTGGTTTTGTTAATTGTCATTAAGGCTGTTATTTTGGAATACCTGAAAACCTCCAGAGCTGTTAAGAGCCTAAGCACTAGGGCAGGTATGCAAAAAGAATTTATACAGTCTTTACAGACGGTCACACAGTTATTTTTCTCCATTTACAAAATCTAAGGGCATGCGAAATGTCAGCCGTGGTATTAGATTACCAAAGCCCCAGAAAGAATTTCATGCACTAACCAAGGAATCTTTTTCGGACGCTGTTATAATTTCCTCTCATCTGCTTCCTCTCAGTGAAAGTATAAGAGAAGTATGCAGACGCGTGCCTAGCCAGAGGTGAAACACAAACAGGGACAGCATGCTGCTGCTGTAGGCTGGTCTCTTCTGTGTCCTGACAATGATAGTTTTATCATCTCACTCTTATCAATATCTTTCAATTGTCTTGAAACAGGTGTCACTCTTTTTTTTCTTACTTTTTAAATTTGACACCATTGTCTCATCTTATGACTCAAGGCCCTGATTAGCTTGTCTAACTCAGAAGTGACCTTTGTGTGACTACCTTTATCCCTTCCTGAGCCCAGTGGCAGCGAACTGGTTAAGCTCCTACTCCTCCTCTTCCCATTCAGCTCCACCTTCAGGATCTGGCTCTAGACCAGTGGAGCATGAGAACCAGGACAGCCTGGACATAAAGGGACGATTGTGGCAGCCCAGTGACATGGAAGCAAGTAGCTCTGATTAAACTAAAAGTCAGCTTCAGGCGTGCACAGCGAACCTCAGCCAATGGACAGGAGTGAAGAAACTGACTCAGTGAGCAGGAGTTGTTCCAGCTGAGCCAAATAAGGGCACTATGAGACGCACTCCAAGCCGATTACAATAAACCAATGAGGAAGCATTAGCCACCCAGCTAATTATGCCTTTAACTGAAGGGGAGAGCTCTATTCATGCCTGGGCAGGGCTCTGCTGGTACGTCATATCCAAATTTATAAGGTGTCATCACACCATCTCCCACCTTTAATCAAGTGCTTGCCTCAGTGGAACATTTTAGGGTCGTAGGTGTTCTGTTAACAGCTGTTTGATATATTGGAAAATAAGAGTGCATTTTATGCCAGCAGAGAGAGATCAACGTAAGGAACACATTCCATATTTCCACAAAGCACTGGTGTGGCCTGCTGAAAAATATTGTTACATAATTTTACCTTATTCAATCTTAACTGTGCAAGCTATTATTTAGAGCCGAGGAGGATAGAAAGACGATTTGGGTTGGTGGCTTGAAGATAGTTGATTGAGTCTCCAATACCAGTCGGTATTTGAGCGACAGGTATTTTTTCACAGATTATCTGTCTCATGTAATATTGTCAGGATATAGTGAAACTTTCAGCAAATATGACAGAAAGTTATTTTTATAAAAGTTACCTACTGCAGTTTTTGGTCTCAATACTGAACTGTTTTTGCAGGTGTGTAGATCCTCAGACTAGTACAAAAGTGATACTCTTGCAAGACACTGAATCCTAACAAGCACATCTGCTGTTCTTTTGCTGCACCTCACCTTTGACCTTAGAGCAAGCACAGTCTCTAAAGGAGTCAAGAATTATAAAGACTTTATGCATAATTATATCATAAAATCGTTTCAGTGCTGTCACCTCTGTAGGCTAATGTTTGGGGCGATTTCTGCTTGTTATGCAAACCACACACAAAGGCAAAGGAAGGAAGGTAAATTCCTTAAAAAGACTGTGCCTAGTGCAAACATCAACATTATCAGAGAAAAATGGCAAAAAATATCATTTGGCAAAGCCTACACATGAGGAAAAAACAAAAGTGTGATATCTAAAGGCTAACATTGTCTTTTCTTATAATGTATAAGGCTGCACAGTGGCACATAATAGCACAAACCGCACACTGGTTCATTTGGCTTTATTGCAAGACAGAAACAGCAGCAGCCTCCAGTTAAGAGTCCTTGAATATAAAGGGAGGCCGGCAGTGCTGATAAGATTGTCTCATCTGGCTTGCAGGGCTAAGGTGCAGTGTGCTGCCTCAAAACAAAAGAAAAAATGGAGGGCAGGATGTGGCTACTATTAGGCAGGTAATGGGATACATCTGAGATGCATTAGAATCAGCCAAACAGAACCACACTTCAGTTCTGTTCAAATGACTGTCACAATCACTTCAAATGCACACCTTCAGCGTGTACTGTAGGCGACAAAAAAAAAGCTCTGGCTGCAGAGGAGCTCCTCTGAAGTTGTGCCAAGCTCGGGCATGTGCTCTTTACTAATGGTGACGGCTGGGAGAGTGGCATTGAGACTGATGTGCATGAGAGCTGTCAGCCTCTCCCCCATAACAAATGCCACCTCTCCCCCTGACAGAATGGAGACAGAAGGGAGGGACTGAGGCGGGAGGGAGGGGAGGTGTGGAGGTTACAGACAGAACCTGTGACCCAATTGTGGCCACACCAGCTGTTTCCCCTCCACTGCCTCCCAACCACCGCCATCTCTGTAGACCACATCCTGCTAATTGGCCTTTGCTGCCTTGCACACACAAACGCACGCACACACACATACACACACAAATACAGCGATTGCTAATATCAAGCGAAATGGCTCGTTCCCGGTGAGGAGGAACATTTGCCGGTGCCTTAAGCTGTAGTTGCGTGATGATTGATAAGTGCTTCAAAACATACTTCCCAGCAATATAAATGACTCGCTGCCCTGTGACCATGCTAGCTAATGTCCCCCTTGACATGCACATAGACAGACAGACAGACAGACAGACAGAAAGACAGAATGATGACTGACTGACAGACATACTGCCACCAAGATTCTATGGAGGGGAAACTGAATTAATTGGCTTTCCCTTCTGTGGATAAGTCCTCAGAGTTGTGTGTATGTGGCGATAATGGTAGGTTGCAGTGACAGGCAGGTTATTTAATAAATCCTGAGATGTGTAAGGCAGAAAAGGAAGAACACACACAAAACAAGAGAGCTCTGTATCTTGTCCGCCATAGCCCACAGTATCTACTCTGATTTTTTGCTGAAGACACTCAAACCTGCTCATACACACATACACACACACACACACCCCTAATCATGCACCCACATAAATACACTTAATCGCTGACACACTCACGCATGGCGAGAGCAGTACTGCAGGCACATCCAAGCATGCACAAGTAGGCTATAAAAGCACACACAGAAACATGCACAAGATCTTGCTCAATCAGTCTGATTTGTTTGTTTCCTCCTAAGCATTTGAGGATTCCTCAAGGAGGAAAAAACTTTGTATAATCAAGTCAATTATGTCATTCAATCAAGTCGAAAATCATTTCGAGCCCTTTCTCAGATCCATTGATTGCGAAGTCGTGCTGAATATTTGCTTGCTGCGTTCTATTGTGCAAATAAGCCATCTTTATTTGGAACGGCAGACCAGGCCATGGTGAGGTCTTCAGTGCCACTTCCACAGATAAAGAGCAAAACAAAGTCCTTCACCTTGCTCGCTTTCAGTCAAGAAAATAAGACAGAGCTTTATAGGGGAGGGCTGGTTGCATATTGTCTCTGAACAAAAAATAACAGTTTCTATTAATCTATAACAGCTCTTTTGTCTCCTTCAGGACATGGTACATTATGTGCCCATGAAAATCCATCCTCAGTGAAATTGTTTAAACTCAAGGTCAAGTGCTGATGTTACAGGGACTGTATCAGCTGAAGGTGACCTTGACTGATGTGGAATATGACATAAGGGAAATGGATCTCGGCTCAGTGTGAGGAAATTATCTGTGAAATGCTGCCACTATATCAGAGCCTTTTTGTGTGTGCACATGCCCCAGTGCGTGTGCACATGCCCCAGTGCGTGTGCACACTTGAGGGTGTGTATGTGTGTGTGTGTGTGTGTGTGTGTGTGTGCGCGTGCGTGCGTGCGTGTGTGCGTGTGTGTGTGAGTGTGTGTTGATAGGGTGTGCATATATATGCCTTGCTCAGCTGGGGGTATTGGTCATGAGAACAGCTTGCAGAAACTGCTGCAGCAGACAGGAACAAACAGCTGAATATGAGCCTCTGCTGAATGAACTGGGTGTGTTTTTCCCTCAGAGCACACTGGAATTGTGTTGCCACAATATCAAAAGCCTAACTTCGATTCCCCTACATTTAAAGTTATATTTGTTTCTAATGCCATACTACAATGGATTGCAGAGGGGTTTGGTCATGGCAGCCGGTTGCCATTGTGTGTTTGCTCTGTAAGCAAAATGCATGTTGTTGACCAGAAATGGTGGGCTGTACGAAGCTATTGCCATATCTTGAGTCTTTCGCTTGTCACAATAGAGATTTACTTGTCTCACTGTCAGGAAAAGAGCCAAACTTTTGCTGCACGCATCTTTTAAAGCTCAAATTATGTGATTGATGTAAGGATTGGAGTGCTGACACTGTGTGAGCGACAGGGGGCGCTATACACAATCCTCAAATTAACATCTTTCATGTTATCTTAAGGATGATAATTGTAACTTGCATGTAATGGAATCGAGCTGAAATTTTGTCATTGTGACGACACTATGCAGGCTAATAATAATCAAAAAAGTCTTACCTTCCCAAACTGTTCAAAATACTGCTTCACATCTTCCACTACTGTATTGGCTGACAAGCCACCCACAAATATTTTCTTTGTTCTTGTGACCATCTGGAAAGAAAAGGGCGAGAGGAGAAGATTAGTGATGAGGCTTCAAATGCGTTGCAAACACCTTTAATGAGGCTTCAAACGCACTGAGTGAGCAGCACCTGTGATAGGGAGGATATAAAGGAGTGAGGACACATTGTTGTTAAACAGGAATAAACGGATTCACACAATCAAGTTTCAAAAACACTTTGCTTTAACTTCAGTATTATAGCAAGGTCACAAATGCTGAAGGTTTTGGCAGAGAAAAAAAAATCTTGGCTAAGAAAAGCCGTTCTGTGAATTTCCCCCACAATGACATTTCAAACTGAAGCTCTAATCAAAAGAGACCGTCAGAGAATTAAAGGCCTCCATTTCATCCATAAAAGTTTCTGTTTATCTTTGCAAAACTTAAAAAGAAACAACAGTAATAATTTATGGACTTTCAAAAAACAATTAACGAGTGCTGGAAGATGGAATCAGAGTGCATTAAAGCCTCATTTAGTTTCAAACAGCAAGAATATTAAGGATTATTACCCACGGCGTCAAAAAGGGCACGAACATCTGCTGCAGAGAGTACATGCTAAATTTAGGAGGGCAATTTCTCAGGGAAATACAGTAACAACTGAACCCCAGTTTTTGCATACGATTAAAAATTAAACTGTGAACTTATGACCTCATGGTATTTACGCACCAACATTCAACAGCAGGCCCAGTGTTATCCTAAATCTCTGAAACATCTGGTCAGCATAGGTGTTGATGTTCGTTGCTGACAAACAACACTTAACACTTAACTTGTAAGACGTTGTATTACCACATTACTGAAGTGTTTTATTTATAGGTATTGGATCCTGTTTTAAGGTCACAGAAAAAAATGTAAGGAAATATAATACAGAGGCTCAAGCCCTTCATGTCTCTATGACACCTATGGTGTTATTATGGTTATTACTTTGGTCTGATCTGACTTTGCAATCGGAGGATGCTCCAGCACTGTGGCGAGAAGGACTTTCACCTCGGCCTGTTTCAGCCGACCTCTGGTAATAGACAAATGGAGTTGATGGCACCGTAAACGATTCCGCATGTTTGATGTTGACATAACGTTTCCTAGCTTGAGGCAATATCACCATTGTTTGTGTCTGATCCACTACTCTGTCAAATTATTGGCAAACAATAAGAGACTGAATGACTAAAGCTAATAACTATAACAATGACAATCTACTACTAACTAACAACCTATCTCATTGAACTGTTTTTCTTGCACCTCTTTGGCCAATGGAGAAAGGACAAGACTACTGTAGGTTATTGTGATTCCAGAGACATATGTTCCCATATATAATCCTTACTCTCTCCTATGAAGTGTCACATTTACACTACAGATTGAGAATTTACTGATATGATGTGGCATATAATGATTTTTGATGCACTGCTCTGTAATCTTACTGGCAAACAATAAAAGGAGCAGAGAAGGCAGCAGGGAAAGTCACAGCCCTGATCTCCCTCGGCTCGCCAGAATCAAACAAAAATAAATGATGGGAGCAGGATAAACATACTCGAGAGACACACAGCAAACTATCAAGAAGGTTGAAAGAGTCTACCTTGATCAAAATGCTGACCGAAACACTTTCGATTTATGAAAGAGGCTTAACGCTGAGAAAAAGAAGCGACATTCAGCTAGAGCTGAAGTAACCATCTGTCAAGTGCTTTCCAGGTGCACACAGTCTCACAGGCACATAGCCTGCACATATGCACACAGCCTCCCACACATGAGCCCTCTCTTATTACAGTTTGGTTGTTTTTTTATCTTGCTTCTGTGATTTTTCATGTTTTTCTTATTACATTATATTGTTTTACCACAAAATTAAATTAAGCCAACTTTTGTAAAACAGAAAGAAAAACAGGGAGAATGCAAGCTTTTATGAATAAAAAAATCTTAATATATTTCAGTGGTCTTCATTTATTTTCCCTTATAACTCCAATTTAAAAGTGAAAAAGAGAAAAAAATTTACTTTAGGGCTGGAAGTGCTGGCAACAGCAAGATCAACACTTAATCAGAAAAAAGTATCCCCAAGAGTTTGTGGTAGAGACCGCACACTGCAACACGCAACAATACCACCAAAGATGTTTTATTACGCTGGCAGGAGCAACGCATTCCGCTCAGCACTTTTTCAGGCTAACGATAAGGCTTAAATATGCGAACGCAGTTAGTGTAGCGATTGGGACACAGGTGTGCAAAACAGACTTGACTATGTCTGGCAATCAATATAGGTGCAAATGTCTGTTTATAATACAGCAAAATTCCACGGAGCAATACACACTGTAAATAATTCAAAGCTGTTAAATACACACCCCAAGCCATACAAATATTTTTTTTTTTTTTTTTACACACTAACGAGGTTCCTTGGGTGAGTGAAGACACTTTGGTTCAGAGTAAAATATGAAAGATAAAAAGGTACTTTTCAACATTTGTTCCACTACAGGACATTTATAATGACAGATTCCACTCACTGTTCTAACATAAAGTATGCATGGTACCATGGTAACTGTGCAATACTATCATGCTCAACTCCAAGCATGTTAACATGCCAATATTAGCATGTTCAAATGCTTACAATCATAATATATATATATATATATAAATAAAAAATTACATTATGTTACATGCTAAATGTTAGCAAAATTACACTTATTACTATTATGAATTAACATGCATTGCTTTCATGGTAATTAGTTGTTTGTTTGCCCTACAACTTGTAAGGATCTCAGAATAACATAACAAATAACTGTCTCCATTTTTCATTTATCCAATGATTTTATGTCCTGCAGTGTAATGAGCATCGCAGGCTCTAAGTGAAGCTTAGAGCGATGAGGGTTTTTTCTCTCCTACTTCGCAATGTTTGACTATTACTGGTGAACATGCAAAATATCAACTGGCGGGTTTAGGGGTTATACACTGGCCAAGACCCAGCAGCTGCATCATCCTCTACTCCCCCCGCCCTCCCCCACCTCCTCCTCCCAACATCATGCCTCAGGCCTCAGAGGTTATCAGCCATGGATGCTGCCGCCGGCAACCCCGAGCCAGACAGCTGCTGATAAACTGGCTGTGCGAGTATTTATCAACATCACTCACTTTTATCATTGCCAATCTAGGTAAAAAAATAAATAAACAAGTCAATGTTCATCTCCGCCTGCCTCTCTACATCAGCTGTTTGTCCTGCTTCCCTTCTGGGCCACCCATTCCCCGGCCATTTTTCGGCCTTGTTCCATCAGGCTGCAACCAGTCAAGTTTTCAGCCTTGTCTTTATACTTTGACATGTCTGCCCAATAGCTGATGGGATTGCTTGAGTCCTGGTACAACACAATTACTTTCTCTATTTTTCTCTCCATGGTGACAACAGACATTAAGCCTCATAGCTTTATATTGTGTCCCCGTATGCCTATGGCTATACCATTTCATGCTACCACTGCAGGAGCAAAAGGTCCTTAATGATCATCTCATCCTTTTGGGTGTTGGGCGCATTTTAACTGACACAAAATAATGCATCACTTATTTCCTGACTACTTGAAGGACTGCTGTTATTTTTTTCCATGTCAATATGCAGAAAGTGCACCAACCCCAAGCTGATTGGATGACTTTGGAACTGCATTTAATTTGACACAGATCATTTTACATTATAACAAATGAATTTTCTTCTTAACCAAACCACACACACTACACAATAATAACCACTAGGGAACAGAAAATTCCCCCCACTGCATTTACAGCAACCTTAGTTCTGATCATTTGGGTCTGGCTCATGTAGTATTTTAAAGGTCTTTTTCCGACAACATTTCAATTCAAGCTGACAGGTTTAAAAATGGACCACTCTTCAACCCAGTTTTTTCCTTCAACCCAATTTTTTAAACATTCAGTTATTTTTGCACATCCCTAAGAGACAGTAAGGCGAGTTATGAGTGTGCATGATTGAGCGTGTGTGTGCTTACACATGAATGTGTTTCTAATTTCTTGAGTGTGTGAGGCTGTGCACAGGAAGGGCTGCAACAATTACTGCCCTAGTGCATTACCATGGTAATAGATGGCATGCCGCAGATACATACACAGAGGCAGACAAAAATGTAAAAAGCTTCTGGTGCTCTCTTATCGACACCTGTTAGCAGTTTTTAACAATGACAGACAAACCATATACCTCTACAAAAACAGCATGACCTTTTCTATGAGGTCATCAAGAAAAAGCTACAGAAGCTATCTCATGATGCCCATCACTTAAGTTGTGAAGGCTAGCTCCTTAATACTTCCAGAGGTAATAATAAAAGCATTGTGCACCTTCTTGATTTTAATAAAAGCACACCTCAAACTGACAACATCCTTCTTTTCAGAGCTTAAACTCTGCATTTAGTAAGGTAACTTCAGTGCGTCACATTCTGTTTGTTAGCATTTTGAACATTCAAGCCAAAAATAGCTGTTACTCCAACTCCAAAGCAAACACTGTTACATAGTCCACATTGCAGAATTGGTGCTGGTAGTTTAGAATGTAAGCTATTGTCAGTCCACCTGAAAAAGAACAACCAATTCAGGTCACGTAAATACTGCCCAGAGAGTGCTTAAAACTGACTGCTTTGTCCATACACCTCAACAACAATATCCTGCTCCTAGCCTGCAGCATGCACACGCACACACACACACACAGTGAGACACTCCTGGCAGTTGCTGACATCACAGTGAAGCCAGGAAGGATGTGGAGGTTAGCATAGTGGGAGCACAACCCTGACACCTAGTAAATCCCTGAGCTATTCAAATTATTCATGTCCATCACAAAAGAATCGTATAAGCATATTGCTTAAAAATTCCTTTTTTCTTTTTATCAATTGGACCAAAACTAAGATTTTCTCTCTCTGTTGATACACCCTCCTGTAAAGTGCTTTGTGGTATGGCAAATGGTAAAAGTCTATCTTTATATGTGCATGAATGGGGCACCACGGTGCAGGAAATTGTACCTTGACATGTAGCAGCCTCATAAAGGTGTTAAGTT